GTTTAACTGTGTTCTGGAACAGAGCAGCATGCAACTGCACATTTTAGCCTCCCATTTGTGGAACTTACACACATTTCACCATAGCTTTGATACATGTCAGCACCCAAGTGACTTCAAATATTCTCCCTAAGAGGAAACTACAAAGACCTACAGGAAAAATTGTGTTCAGACCATTTATGTACTTCACACCATGCACACTTTTCAGAATGCAAGGAAGGGATCATGATAGCAAAATAAAACAAAGGGCCTTTATATTCTGCCAGACCCTTGGCAGAAAGGTGAAAAAAATGGTATTTTCTTTTAAGATAAGCCAGTGGATTCATTCATATAAAGTGCCTCCATTTTCAATAGGCATATCAACACAAGGGCATACAATAGGCAGTTGTGCAATAAGATACAGTGCTGGAGAACACCTCACGAACTGACACCTCAGCTTCTGAAGAGCAACATTCGCTCTGCACACGCCTGCCCCACTAGAGTTGCATATTGTCGAACACTTTCTTCATCGCTTGGCCCCTTCCTCCTCCTCTTGTACACACTGTAACGCATGGCTGTTCTCTTATGCAGAATCCGAACCTGACCCAATTCCTTCACATTCCCTTCGTCAACTGTAAGAAAAGAAATATGGGCGTATTAAAGCAGCGGCCAGATGAACAGGAAGCATTTGTTGACAAATGAAGTAGTATCAAAATGCGAAATACCTTATATTTAGATACTGATATGGTGATACAAGACAACAGCGTTGTTTTTAGAAAGCGTATCATTAGGTGAAAATTTAAAGGAACTGACCAAGTTCCACTTGAAGATGAAAGAGGTGTGTGGATTTTGGTTGCTCTTCAGAAATCAAGAATGAATGTCATCAGTTGTGTTATCACACCAGGATTCCTACAAAATTCCTCTGCCTATCCAAGTTTTGTGCATGTACAAGAATCCAGATACCAGAGAGCATCTACTTGTTCACTGTTCCTACCAAGCAGCAGGCAAACTATGTTAGATTTAAATGGCAGCTGGAAATTAAAATCAGTTTTCATATGCAAGTCATCCAAAATCACTTTTGTTTTTGGTTTTAATTTGCCATGTTTGGCATCTGGCTGAGATGGTTTGGGGAAGAATATATGGCTGCTACAATACTACATGATCTTTGTAAATTCCTTCAAAACTACAATAGAAAAGATTTATTGTTATAAGCTTACGGTACATAGGAAGACCTCAGAGTCACAAAAATGTCTACTGTAAATGCATTACATGTCTGAAAAATAAGCTCACCTGGAGCGTTGTCTACATGCTGTTTCCAGGACACATAAAAACTTAACATTTAAAGCCAGTATTATTTTAATGTTGGTCGAAAACCTACACTAGGGTCACAGCATTTTAACTGAAGTAACTCTTTTGCCCCCCTCCAAAAAGGAACTAATTCTGTTCCAGATCTAGATAGGTAGCTGTGTTGGTCTGACAAGGAAGGAAGGAAGGAAGGAAGGAAGGAAGGAAGGAAGGAAGGAAGGAAGGTAAGTAAGTAAGTCCAGTAGCACCTTCGAGACCAACTAAGTTTGTTCTGGGTATAAGCTTTCATGTGCATGTACACTTCTTCAGATACACTGAAACAGAAGTCACCAGCTCCTTATATATAGGTGAAGGGTGGATGATTGACTCAATGGATATGGTAAACCTGTTGACAGCTGTTAATGACTGCAATTAGTCCTACAGGAAAAAGCAATGGATAGTGTGCAGATGACCAAAAAAAAGCTTTAGCACATGGGTAGGCAAACTAAGGCCCAGGGGCCAGATCCGGTCCAATCGCCTTCTAAATCTGGCCCGTGGACGATCCAGGAATCAGTGTGTTTTTACTTGAGTAGAATGTGCCCTTTTATTTAAAATGCATCTCTGGGTTATTTGTGGGGCATAGGAATTTGTTCATCCCCGCCCCCCATATAGTCTGCCCCCCCACAAGGTCTGAGGGACAGTGGACCGGCCCCCTGCTGAAAAAGTTTGCTGACCACCCCTGCTTCAGCATGTGAAATGAGAGAATTGTTGCTAAAGCTGATTACAGAGAATGATCAAGTAGCTCAGGTATGTAAGTTAAAGGTAAAGGTAAAGGTAAAGGTACCCCTGCCCGTATGGGCCAGTCGTGTCCGACTCTAGGGTTGTGCGCCCATCTCACTTAAGAGGCCGTGGGCCAGCGCTGTCCGGAGACACTTCCGGGTCACGTGGCCAGCGTGACAAAGCTGCTCTGGCGAGCCAGCACAGCACACGGAAACGCCGTTTACCTTCCCGCTGGTAAGCGGTCCCTATTTATCTACTTGCACTTAAGGGTGCTTTCGAACTGCTAGGTGGGCAGGAGCTGGGACCGAAAGACGGGAGCTCACCCCACCGTGGGGATTCGAACCGCCGACCATACGATCGGCAAGTCCTAGGCACTGAGGTTTTACCCACAGCGCCACCTGCGTCCCCAATAGCTCAGGTATGTAAGTTACCATGCAATAATTTTCCCGGCGACAGAAATGGCTGCATTATTGTATGGTAAAAGCTCTGACATTAGCACAAAGCTGCATCTGTCAGTATGAAGGGTTCAGATTTTAAAAAATGCCGACATCACCTATTCCTTCACTAACACCTGAAGATAGTTTCTGCTTATGATCATTTTCACACTATCTGCTTCAGTGTTGATACCTATATGTTAAACACTGAATCATTGACCAATATCTATTCATTTTGTCTAGAGACACCATGCTCCAATTCACTTCTTCATTAATAATGGCTGGCACTTGTTTCACATACAACTGAAGTTGCAAATGCTGATTTGTCTTGTTCATAGCTTTCTGAAATCCATTAAGCCTTCTGAAGTGTAGCCAATATTTCTCCAGTGCTCTGTCAGGGTTTTACTTTTTCTGTTCTTCTGCTTCCGGTTCTACACTCTCATTGGTGACATTTGCAAAGGAAAACACGTTCAGGTTCAGCTCCAGAATAGGACATAAACATAAAGTGAGTTTTTAACTTCTTAAAAGGAAACGGAAGACTTATATTTACAACACCTTTAGGCAAAATATTAGTTGTAACCTGAACAGTTCTGGCGCCAACCTGCATCTTTAAACAAACACCCACATGGAGACTTTATTTCAGGACTGCTCATTACTTTTAAATCTAATTCGTTTTATTGAACCCTGAAACCTGATACTGGAGGGACATTCCTTTCTGCCTTACATTGCTCCTGGACTCAGAGTTTATTTCCTGAAGTGGATGCTGCCGTACATCTACCTTGTTTTACTTGCCTACGTTCTCCATGGCTGGCTTCAGTTCTGTGCCACTAGTTGAACATGGAAGGTATGCACACATTTCCTTCTTGAAGCAAGATATAAATCATGCCTCTGCTGGAATGAGAACCATCTTAGCTATAGTATAAATAAGCATATTAAGCATAATAAACTATCAAACCAGGATTTTTCCTTCGCCAGCCAAATCACAGTTTTGTCTCTATTCGGATTCTGGGCATAACTCTGCAAATAAATGAAGCCTCTAAAATCTTCTGCAGAGTTTTTTTGCGATTGATATTTTGACAGGTGGGCAGGACCTGTTGTAATGATGTCAGGTGATTGACACCTGTTAAAAGTTCAAAGACATGTTTTTGGTGCCAATGAGCTGATAGGCACTGGAAGCAAGCCTTCAAAGGAGCTCCCTGTTAACTGTGATCAGCAGCTATAGGCAGTCTGTTTGGAGAAAGTCTGTTTGATTCAAACTGAAATGCTCCACATGGAAAAAAAATTCCCATCTGCAGACATCCTGAAATGGAAACATATCCCAACTTAAATGGATACTTACACGGAACTTAAAGGGTTTAGTGCTAACACTTAAAGCATACTGGATTTTTAGCACACTTCGTGTGTTAATTGATTACTAGTGGCAGGATGTATGCGTTATCAACAACTGTTTTTTGTGCATGGCCACTACTGGTGCTGGAGTGGATGGTGCACAAAAGCTGAAGCCAAAATAAAGGCTAAATGTGTTATTTTTTTAAGGTGCCACAAGACACTATTGTTTCTTCATGGTGTTGAATGTTAAGCACCAGTCTCAGCTTGCTTGCTATTTTATGCTTTTTGGTTGGTCCTAAAAGTTAAAATTCCTGCCAACCTAGCAGTTCGAAAGCACATCAAAGTGCAAGTAGATAAATAGGTACTGCTCTGGCGGGAAGGTAAACGGCGTTTCCGTGCGCTGCTCTGGTTCGCCAGAAGCAGCTTAGTCATGCTGGCCACATGACCCGGAAGCTGTACGCCGGCTCCCCTGGCCAATAAAGCGAGATGAGCGCCGCAACCCCAGTGTCAGTCACGACTGTACCTAATGGTCAGGGGTCCCTTTACCTTTACCTAAAAGTTAAAATATGCTTTTCATGTGTGTGTGAGCGCGCACACATGTGTGTTTCCACAAATCCAGTTCAGTACTTAAAAGGGTAAGTAATAAATTGATTAGGAAACTTTGAGATAGTTTTCTAACTCCAGTCTTTTATGATTCTACTCCACATAAATGTAAATTTAGGAATAAACTTTGTGATCAAAACTCTGCTATAAAAAACTACTTATCAAAGTATGATTTATGCTGTCTGTCAAAAAGAGCCTTTACAGTGTAGCTTTTAGTCAACACTAAAGCAATCTCAGAGACTCTTTGTAAAAACTTAAAAGATGTAAGTAAGTACCTCTGTCACCACAATAGCACAAGTAATTTACTCAGTTTGAAGCTGGCTAATGTTCCTGTGCCAAAAGTCAATCACAGGAGAAAAGCATTCACTTTATTCATTTAACCCTTAAAGTAGGGTGGCTTTGACTGGATTAAAGAAAGCATAAAAACCAAACAGGATCTGCTGCTGTTTAAAGAAGGCAAAGTATGACATAAGAGCAAGATACGTCTTTCAACTGAACAAAAATTAAACCAACATTTCTATTCTATTTTACCAAGATCAATATTAAAAATTTGCATCTCCTGCTCTTCTAAGAACACATACACGAGGCATGATAGTAAATATATGAAATATTTTATAATACAGGTCATAACGTAAGAACTAGTTGTCAATCAAAGATATGTCACCATTTTGAAAGTGATCTCACAACTGATATGGAGAGAGGTCTGCTACATGTGTACTATTCCGAAGACATGGCCTGCTTCCTTCTGAAGCTGCATATCAATTATTCTCAGTTGGCAAATGTATTACATTGTCTTTCTTTCAGATAAACATATGAGAAGAGGCTGTTCTCCAAAATATTAAGATTTTAATTTTTGAAACCAAAAGGCTTCTAGTTCCTATACAACAATACGAAGTAGAATAAAAGATATGACTGAATTCAAGCCTAAATAGCATTTGCTATTAGGCTATTTGCTATTAGACTGGCCAAATGAACACTCATTATATGACGTAATTACTTTCTCCTAGGAAGCTTTATTGACTCAGGACAGGAAACTCTGGGATGTTCCTGCTTTAGCAGAATCCAGAAACTGTGGCGTGTTCCTGCTCCGACTGCCTAACAAGCTTTCCTGCAACCTTACAGTGGATTTAGCTCAACAAAGTCAAGCTTACAATACATCTTTATTTTCTCTTCCTATTCTTTTAGCTGCCCAGGTTCCCTGATCTGTAGTGACTTTGTATTGCTACTGCAAATTAAACCTGTGCCTGGGAAGCCAAGAACAATTGGTTGATAAACAACTTTGTCTTCCCATCCCTATTACTTTTGACTTGGGCATATTTGCTCTGGCTTTCCTAGCCAGGGATGGCTGAAGCTATTTTGCTACTGTTGTCAGAAATGGCTGGTGGGAAGTCTGTAGCTTTGTCGGCCCTCTCCATGACCTTGGCAAAGCAATGTTAACTAGCTACCCCTATAAAAGGTAGAGATGCACCACAGCAAGTGCCCAGAAGTCGTTCTTCTGTCAGCAGAGGATAGCCTGTTGCCAGGTCCCAAGCTGCTCTGTCCCATGTATAAATACTTATCCTCCAGCCCCACAAGTCACTGCCTCAATGCAGCATCTCATAAGACTGTGCCATAACTATTAAACCCTTTAACACCGTGAACCTTGATCTTCAGAAAACCACTCAGTTTCATCCTCTGCCGCCCCTCCTTTCTCTTTCAAGGTGTAAAAATTAATTTTGTATCATTCAAGTTGTGTTTCCAGACAGAGTCCCAGAATTTTATTTCCCTCATGTTTGATTTCATGGCTTTAATACCAAATCACTCTCTCCTTGCCCTTACAAAAAAATCAAAAGCAAGAGGGCTTCCGTGCTCCCTAGTGCTGCTGGATTCAATTATGCTGTGGTCAGTGGTGCTTAGTGGTTTGTCGTAAGTTCTATGGGCAGTTTTTACTACTAATATAAGCAGCGGGCCTTTCATCCATGCACTCCAAAATAGGCACGTCAAGGAAAGGGAAGTTAGATCTGAAAAAAATATCAAGGGCACTTAAAAATCAGGTATTTAAAAAGGGGAATCAAGTACATATGGATAAATCAAATCACTCTGGTTCAAAATGTTATAGCTGGTCTATAATTAATGCAACCAAACCAACAAACCAATGCTGCACTCAGCCAAACATAGAAAGAAATAGCAGACCTTTCCTAAAACACAATATGCATCACAGGGACACTTCTAACATTCTATACTTCTACAAGAATCCTTTAGAATTATCCCCAAGCAGGCATAAACGTTAGAAGTATTAGGTTGAAATCAGTCATCTTTCATCCCAGTGGAATGTACAGCTCTGTAATTTTAAAGTGATCTTTAGACCTTTCCACTGTTGCTTCCCCATAAATGCTTTTGGAGCAATTCCTGAGAAAGCATACACATTGAAGACATTACACTGATGTTTATTTCCATGTGATATTTTTCCAAGATAGATCTAGAAGGAGAAGCTGGTAGGAATTTGAGGTCTTATGAAGTTACAACCACCTTACACCCCTTGCCACCACCCAAATTTCATTTATAGGAGAGCTGATTTTAGCAGGATTTAACATTTGTGCTTGAAGAACAAACAGGTTCAGATAATGGTGTTCTCTTCTCTCTAGTAAATGCAGTGTAACTAGAATTATTTAACAAGGTCAGTGATTCAAAATTTCATCTACCTATTAGCATTTTCCTTCTCATGCTAGAAGTGGAGTTGACAAATTTGTTTGGATACAGCTCATTAGCACTATCTCTACTGTTTAAACATACTTTATGATCAAGGATCATGCTGGATTATGAACTTCAGTTGCCTTCAAGTGTTTATAAAGTTAATTAAAAACAGATGCAAGTTCCAAAATGTAATAAGCTGAAGCAGTTGCTGGGAATAATCAATGCAGTTTACCCCTCCCCCTCTGAAAAATGTGGAGCAAGAACCTTACAAACTCCGCCATGGTAACTATGGGAAAATAAATGTATTTCATAGCTTTTGTTTCTTTAATCAAAGGCTTGCTCTCCCCACCCACTCCTTACAAGGAAACTGCTAATACGTACTAAAGTTATGTGTGTAAAATATCTTCAGTATCAGAAAAAAAAGTTCTTACTTAGAACTGATGTATTCTTTAGTCACTAGGGTTACAATCAGGCTGCATTAAAAACATGGATGCTTTGCTGCTAACTTAACAAGTACTGAGATGCATCTCTGGGTGAACACAATGCATTGCTGTTGTTTAGTCGTTTAGTCGTGTCCGACTCTTCGTGACCCCATGGACCAGAGCACGCCTGGCACTCCTGTCTTCCACTGCCTCCTGCAGTTTGGTCAAACTCATGCTAGTAGCTTCGAGAACACTGTCCAACCATCTCGTCCCCTGTTGTCCCCTTCTCCTTGTGCCCTCCATCTTTCCCAACATCAGGGTCTTTTCCATGATTATTCATTATTATTATTATTATTATTATTATTAGCTATGTAATCTCACTCTCAACTGCCTAATTATCTTGGGACTTTCTGGAGTGGGGGAAGGAAAGAAAGAACACATATTACAAAGGCACATCTAGGAAATCATAACAAAATTGAAATTTCTCATAAACCTATAGAATAGTTTATTCTCTGGAACTTATTGAACAATCTGTGACCCATGCTTTAAAACTTTGTGTGACAGCTACATGGCTACTGGCATGCTGTTTTTGTTGTGATTGTCTGTATGTTCTTAATAGAGATGTTATATTAATACATAGTTCTAATTCTATTAATGTTTAATTGTTTTTAATTATTGTTTCCCCCCTCCCTTTTGTTCCTAACTATCTCTACTTTATCTCTTCTCATTTGAACAACCCTAAGGTTAAGATCACCAAATGGGACCTTGCTTCAGGTTCGAACTTACGGAGAAGCCGGATTGGGCTTCGACAAGAAAAAGGGAATTTTCTGTCGTAGTTGCAGAGATTTGGAACATCCCTTCATGGCTTGTTTATTTATTAATGCAGCTAATGACCTGACAATGCAGAGACAAGTAAACAACATTTTTTGGAAGCAGCAAGACAGACACACAAGAAAGGAGTACACCGTATTTTCTCAGTTTTCATAAAAGCCAACACAACCCAAGAGAAAAAGTTACACTAGAACTGAGGTCTCAAAGTCTCACATCTACCATGATCTTATTGGGCTCACTGAAAGCTCTGGTCTTTTTCAAATATAGAAGTGTTTGTATACTTCACACTCTCTATGGAATAGCGATTAGTCTTCTTCACCTTAGCTTAGGAGGCTGTGTTGCCTTAGAGGAAATAGATTAATCTAGTTCAACTATCTTTGTTCATCAAACTCTTTCAATTTTATTGGTAGGAATCAGCCACTATAAATTTTCTATTTGGGGAACTTGCATGGAAAGAATGGTCCACCTACACGACACAAATGAATCTGAGACACTCAACTCTTGAATGTCCTTGAATTTATTTATTTATTGCACATCTGGTGCATCATAACCTTTATATTATCCTTACAAGGAGAGTAATTTCAACTGCATGATGAACCTTCACAGCAGAAACACACAACACCAGCATGAAGATGCTTCAACAAAAATTGGTCTGACATGGTCAGGATTGTGCTGTAAGTATGGTCGCTTTGTTTATCAGCAACACCAGAACCCTTTCAGTGATTTCAATTCTGAGTAACTGTTTCCCTTCCTTTAAGATTCACTTTTTCTCCCTAACACTCTTTAGTTAGTAGTTTAAAATATGTTTTCTAAATTTTGGGGTTGAGAAGCTTAAATCCATTAAAGGAATGGGATATTCATCCGTTGTAACTATAATGAAAGAAAATCAATTGTATGCTAAAAATACATTAATATTACATAATAAAACAAAGCAGCAGTCGATAGGCCTGGGCAACCACAAAATGAATGAATGCAATCAACTGGTATCCAGTTATTTATTTCGTTTCATTTATGAAATGTTTCCAAGAAACATCTCAAAGCAATAACAGCCAGCAAAGGCCTGAATAAATAACTGAGTTTTTAGAAAGCACCAAAACGACATCAGAGTTGGCTGCAATTATGAACTATTACAGTATGATACCTACAGGTCTTGTTATGGAAAGTCATTTCATGTGAAACAGAGCATACCATTGTCTGTCTAGCCCGATGTTTATACTCACTGTATTTTAATTAAAGGACTTATTTTACTGACAACTGTAAGGAAGTGTTCTGCAGGAAACCGGCCCTGGAATGGAGCACTGCTTCCTTCAAGAAAGCAGCTACCCAAACCTCAAATGACTGTAGCTCACAGCAGGCCTTCTGCTGTTCAGCATGTAGCTATGTTTTAATTTCCTTAAACCACAGGACATAAGTCTGAATTCAGATCGTGTCTGGGCTGATGAACTCAGGATAGACAAAGATGCAGATTTTTATAATTTATCATTTCATAGTGGCATACATATGAGACTTAAGATTCTAAAGAATCTTAATATTGTTGCCTCCCTTCTTATATTATAATGCTGCCATCTTGGGCACCAGTTTACTCATACTCCCAGTTTTTTTCAAGCACATCTATTAAAACAGCACAACTTTTCTTCTCTTTCTTAGGCAAGGGCAACTTGAAAAATTGCCTACCTTGAACCCATTCACTTCATTTTTCAATTTGTAATACCTTTCAAGCTTCTCTCTCAAGTTCTGTAATGCTATGCCAAAAAGTGTTTCACTTCATAATAGATCCAGATTTTACATATCAATTGAAGCATGATAGGAGCTCACTATACATGGTGTCACTCAACCTAGATTTCATGATAAACAACACTTTGGTTTGACGGCAGGAAGTGTAGCATATTCATATTTTTCTGGATAATGTTATTCAGAGTCAAACATGTGTTTTCATGTTTGCATTATTTTTTTATTTGTTTTTACACCAAAATAATATAGAACATAGTACCATGATCGACACAGGCATTAAAAGTTTTGTCTGAAGATCATTGTCTAGGTCGAAATCAAAACAACAAACCAAGAGCACATTTTAGGTGCAAGTATGGCCTTTCATAGCCATCACTACACGTTAGGTGGTATTGTACTGAAAAGACCATGAGATTGTTCAAATATTCATCAGAAACAGTGCAATGCTGGCAGGGAAGAAGCATATTTCACACACAAAAATTCCCATTGTGTAGAGGCTCCATTCATACAAACTGGGGAATAAAAATGCATCCAAAGTCCATTTACATTGAAGAGTCTGCTTATTTGTGTGTTTTCTGTGGGGGTGGGGATTCTCTACTACTCTACTTTCTGAATGCTGGTCTCTGGTGAATGTGTGAAATGGAGCACTTAAGTGTGCTGGATGACTTAAAAGGGACTACTTATACACTATTTAGTAACTAAATGGACTCTACGAGAGTGGGAATTAGCCAATTAAAATTACTGAATAAATGAATACATGGAAGATGTTAACAATGTCATTTTAGCCATGAGACACAATGTACATTCAAATGTTTAGCATTTATAGCAGGTATGGCCGACCTTGGCCCTCCGAATGTTTTGGGACTACAACTCCCATCATCCCTAGCTAACAGGACCAGTAGTCAGGGATGATGGCAGTTGTAGTCCCAAAACATCAGGAGGGCCAAGGTTGGGGATGCCTGATTTATAGTCTAATATCTTACAGTATATGCAAAGGATGTAAATTATATACCTACCTGCTTTTAAGTCTTGATTGAAGCGACAATATTTTGAATGCTCAAGAGAAGGCAGACATTGTTCAGTAGGTACCCAGATATATGTCTCTGGACACAACAAGTCAGATGGTCTGTACTGGCCCTAGGAAAAAATGGAGAAGAAATAAGTGGTATGTTATTAAAAATCAAAATGGAACTCCAAATGTTTTTAGGTCCAGAATAAAGTTTATAGTTAGCAATAGAAAATCCTAAACAAAATAATCCATCCGAGAAAACAGAGATGGACACACTATTTCTCAAACATGTTTCTTCAGCTTTGGTGGTTGAGATCTCTTCACACTCTTTTATCTTTTACAATTAACATTTTAGCTGTATCATTAATTTAATCAATCAATGGCATTTTTCTCTTTTCCTGAATGAATACAACCATTGATACACAAAGCACATTAAAATAAACTTGTCTGACTGCTTAATCTTTTGGAGCACCTAGCTCAATAATCCTTCAAACAGAATAATCTGATGTACTGTTAACTGAAATGTAATTTGAGAACAGACGCCTGCTTCTTGGGAGAAAAGCAATGACAAACCTAGACAGCATCTTAAAAAGTAGAGACATCACCTTGCCAACAAAGGTCCGTATAGTTAAAGCTATGGTTTTCCCAGTAGTGATGTATGGAAGTGAGAGCTGGACCATAAAGAAGGCTGATCGCCGAAGAATTGATGCTTTTGAATTATGGTGTTGGAGTAGACTCTTGAGAGTCCCATGGACTGCAAGAAGATCAAACCTATCCATTCTTAAGGAAATCAGCCCTGAGTGCTCACTGGAAGGACAGATCGTGAAGCTGAGGCTCCAATACTTTGGCCACCTCATGAGAAGAGAAGACTCCCTGGAAAAGACCCTGATGTTGGGAAAGATTAAGGGCACAAGGAGAAGGGGACGACAGAGGATGAGATGGTTGGATAGTGTTCTCGAAGCTACCAGCATGAGTTTGACCAAACTGCGGGAGGCAGTGGAAGACAGAAGTGCCTGCCGTGCTCTGGTCCATGGGGTCACGACTAAACGACTAAACAACAACAATTTGAGAACAGGGGCAGATGGGGCTCTTCAACCTGGGAAGGGAGCTCATCTAGGTGAAGGCAAACTCTCATCCTAAAACCTTTGCTGCCTTGTGGGATATCTTCAGGAAAAGTAAATGCCAAGGAGTAAAGCCCTATACAAATCCGGAGCAGAGTTGCTAAGATAGTAGGATGGTGCTTTGTATACCTCCTTCCAGCAACTCCTGCAACCAATGTGGTGTCACTGTATCACACTGCTTTCTTTTGGACTACATCAGTGAGGCCAAGAGGCAGGCCTTGTTGTCTGGGCGGCCCAGGACCTCCATACACACTGCCCAGGCTTAACCCCCTGAGAAGTCATTTTGTTGCTGCTACTGCAGCAGTTTGACTTCATCCCCGGAGACCCACTCCATTGTCTCTCGAGACAGATGGATGCCAACAATTTGAGAATGAACAAATAAGTCTCACTGTACTTCACCTAGCTTAATTTCTAACTAGTTGATTTCTAGCTGAAAGGACTAGGAACGGAAACAAAAGTTATTTTAGAAAGACAAAGTCAGAGAGATCTTGGGACACTTGTATTACAATGAAAATATCTAACAAATATGGAATGCTTTTTAACGTAAAGGGGGGGAGGGAGTAACTGTCTGGTCTCATTTAGATTACTTCCAGAATCATCAAAACTGGTTTTCTTACTTACATATTAACATTGCGCAGCTTCACCACTTATTTAAAGTTACAGCTTCTTGACATATTGCTCCCTGCCTTCAATATGGGCATTACCTTTGTGCATGAATATACTATTTCTACAAAGGGTGCATGATTGTCTCAAATCATGAGTTTGCCACACACCTCACCACTTCAGAGTTATAGTAAACATCCTGAAAATTATTCTCGGAGTTGCAATTTGTGAATAACCCTTATTTTGTACTGCAGTCAGGTTAGCCACCCAAATCTAGGGGTGAATAGTGTACAAATCAAATGTCTGCATGATGACCAGTTTATGCAGGGAATGTGAAAGGCTGTTTTTTAAAGATGAAAGAAAGAAAGAAAGAAAGAAAGAAAGAAAGAAAGAAAGAAAGAAAGAATATTGAACTTTCTAAAAAATGCATGCCCCAGTGCTATGTACAAGTACTCTGAAACAATACACAGACTCCTGGCTCCTGTTAAAGCTCTGTGGATAAAGCTGAGTAAATTTAATAGAAACGTGGCTTTTTAAAAGAATGACGACTCAACAAAAAATAAATATTGAAGAAGCTGTAATAGTTATGCAACTTCCAAAACATCAGGATTTTTACTGCATTAAATATCACAAACAAGATTTATTTTCTTCTCCAGGTTAACACTTTACTATTTTCTTGCAGAACTGGATAATTCCACATAGATGCAAAAAGATATTAAGCAATAATCTCACATATGACATGTGCGTAGAAAAAAATTAGAACCCCCCCCAACTGGATATAACATACTCAAGTTCTGACGTATTGAAGTCCTTTTAACAGTTCTTAATGTCATATTACACACAAACGCACACAGAGTGATAACTACTGAATCATATTCCCTGCTCTTTTATCCTGCTGCAGAGAACTCTGTTTTTGTTAAGGCAGCCTTCCCAAAACCTGGTCCCCAGATGTTGTTGAGAGCACAAACCTCACCATCCCTGATTATTGGTCACGCTTACTGTGGATGGTGAGAGTTGTAGTTCAACAGCATCTGGGGATTCAAAGTTGAGAAAGGCTTGTTTAAGGTATAAAATTGTGCTTTCCGCTGAATTTAAGTGACCAATGGCAACTTTACCCACTGGTCACTTCACATGCAACATAAATCATGGTTTGGCGTTATGTGAATGAGTTGCAGCATTCTTTGGAAAACACCCCCTACTCCTTCAACCCGGCCACAAGGAGGAGTTCTGCTTTTTATTAATTGCAGCTTGTCAATGCAAACAGGATAATCTTCTTGAATGGTTTGTTGAAACTAACCAACTTCAAACCACGGATTATGAAACCTTCGCCTTGTTTCAGAAAAATCAAGTTATACATGAAAGTACTGTACTTCTAACAAAATTAAATTTCATTATTGCATATAAACAATGTTCCCTACACCACAGGTAAAGGCTTAAGCTTTTGAACAAAGATAAAAATGCTTTGAAATGCTGTCGGCCTACTGCCCCGCATTTTCTTTTCTTCCATTCTCCATCATGAGAGATCACAAAGATGTACTCCCCAATCAGGGCCTAGTCTCACACCAGCTTCATCGTGTGATGGCTGTTAGAAACCTGAGTCCATGTTACGGACATTTACAGTGGCACATCCAATCCCACACTTGGCTATGGAAGCCGTTCATTATGTACAAGTAATAAACATGGCTGGGTTCCCCCGTGCCCCAACAGCAAAATGAAAATGCAACACTACAGCTCCTAACAGTGGTCACGGTAATACAACTGCATGGTTATTGGGCATAATTTGTATATCCCACTATCCATGTGATATACCACAATAAAGTAGCTCTTTTCTTGAATGGCTCACAAAGCATCCTCAGTATTTCATTTTGTTTATTAGATTTATTTATAGCTTCACACAACCAGGAAAACCAAACCAATTTAGAAGGGTAAAATACAACAACAAATAACTAGAATATCCATTAAAACGGTACTGATATACTAATTGTTGCAGAATCGAACTGAACAGACTAACACACCTGCTGCCTACATGTTAGCAAGGATGGAGACTGTCTACTTCTCATTTCATGATGCCGTCAGTAGGAGAGGGAAATGTTTCTGTCTGAGGCAAAAGGTAAGAGTACCCTCAACAAATCTGTAGTTTGGGTTGTACAGTAGAGTGGTACCTCAGGTTAAGAACTTAATTCGTTTCGGAGGTCTGTTCTTAAGCTGAAACTGTTCTTAACCTGAAGCACCACTTTAGCTAATGGGGTCTCCTGCTGCTGCTGCTGCGCCGCTGCTGCACAATTTCTGTTCTCATCCTGAAGCAAAGTTCTTAACCCAAGGTAATATTTCTGGGTTAGCGGAGTCTGTAACCTGAAGTGTATGTAACCTGAAGCGTATGTAACCCGAGGTACCACTGTACTGAATGTGGGACCGTGTAGAGGTTCCTAATACCCACCATAACACTAGCTTATCCTTGTTCTGTAAGGAAGGTATATTTCAACCAGGGCTGCATAAAGTCCTCATTTCTCTGCTCCCTTGTTTTCCCTCTTCTCCCCTGCTGTGCTCCTGCGGTGCAATGCACCCAACCCCACCCCAAAAATAAATTCAACCATATTCTCTTGTCACTAGTTCCCTTTTGTAAAAGATACACTGAAAGCAAAACACTTACATATGACATTAATTCAGGCCAATGTAAAACATGGCTGTATTTTTTATTGGAAACTTCTGGAGGCATGCTTGGCAACTCTGCCATAAGGTTCCTTAATTGAAGTATTCTCACTCTGCCTTGCTATGTGTTCAAGTTTCTGTGCTAAAACCAATATCTGGACTTCTGTTCCAAGGCAAGGCCAAAGGTTTTAATGAAACTTAAGTCTGAAGATTTACTTTTTAAATATTTTGGAAAATCTGAGGGATTTGGTGAGTATTTGAGATGAAGGAGCATCAGCACAGTTTGTTTTCACAGACTAAGCCAAATATGAAAAGTAAAAGCTCCAAGGAAAGATAATAGTTTCAAAAAAACAAAGAAGGTCAAGTACCAGTAGCACAGAACAAACAGAAAAGGTTAAACACACATTTAATTCTTTTATCAGGTAAAGTGTACATCTGTGTTCTATTTTTCCACAATAACCCATTGATCTTTTATTAAAAGCGAATTAAGGCAGCCTTCATCTCAGTTTCCAGCCAGCTGCTTAGAAGAGGAGCCTTAACATTACATAAACAAAATAACCCCAAATTATCAACAGCAATGCATTAAGGCAAAGGCAGCGCCGTCATATGAGAGAGACAGAGAGAGAGAAGGAGAAAATGAGCCAGCCTAAACGTTTATTAAATTCAGCCTTTTCCTTGAAAGGGAACACCAATGGAATCCCAGCAGCCAAGTACTACAGCAGACCCTTGCTCCCTGATTTCATTGCATAAACAGA